TTTTGAGATGTTATGGCTTCTAGCAGCCACTGAACCTACCTATTGGTAAATGATTAGTAACGATAATTACAGGTACTAAAGTGTTAATTGTATTTTTTTAATTTTACACATTGGTTTCCTTTCCTTTTCTATTTGTTTCCAGTATTGAAAGACTTGCATTTATTTACAATCTGCGTAACCTACTTTACCTATTATACGTATATGCATGACAATGACGAATATTTTAGTTTTTGATGTCAATTTTATTGTTTGTTTTTTATTTTTATCTACATAATAGTTTTAAGATACTCATTTACGAATCAATAGACAATCTAGTGTTGTAAAAATTAATTGTGCATTACTTGAATGATATTTAAGTTAACTAGGGATTATAATCTATAAAATTAGTACCTACTTGTTAGGGCATAACTAAGAAAGTGAAACATAATTGTTTGAAAATGTTAGGTAATAGCGAAACGTTATGGTAACTTCCTTTTAATGTATCGATAATAATTAATACTAGTTGCGGCGCACCTAAATTTCCATTGCTGTGGTTATTGGAATGATCGCCAGGATACAGAAAAATGTAGTGCAAGCTACTTTTAAGAACTTTAATGGTTTATTCATTAATTGTTACCTAATTGATTTCTCACGGTTTGTTGTTATTGCTGAACTAGCAATGCTGGAAATTTAATTTAAGTCAAAATAAGGTAGACCTACTTTGAAATCCGAATGATTGACTTTGGATCAAAATTGTGATTAGTTATTTGTATCATGATAAGAAGAAGCAACAACAACAACGACGACAATAAGCAATATTATACAATAAAATGGCTTATGTATCTATAATATAGCGTGATTGTAGAGTTTTATCCACTAAGTCTAATTAAAATATGGATCTCTGCCTTAGGCCTTTTGATATCCAGGATGTTGTCGGAATTTTTAACAGCGTATTTATATGTCAATATTTCGTCGATGAAATGGGCAAAAAAAGTCGTACTTGTGTGTTTGGTATACAGGCGAAAGATACAAAAAAAAACATTAACAAGAAAATTATATAGGGTTGTTCGGAAAGTCATTTCGTTTTTTTTTTGTGGAAATGAAAGACAGTTTTCGTATAATAAACAAATACCGTTCTGGTCCAACACCTTTTGCCATCTTTCTGGTAGTAGCATAATTCCACGCTCATAAAATATTTGGTCTTTGCTGGCAAAAAACTGATCGAGGAGGTTTTTGACCTCCTCATTTGAGGTGAAGGTTTTACCGTCTAAAAAATTTTGGAGT